ACCATACGATGTTTAATATATGAAATGAATAGGTAAAATATCACCAAGCACGGGAAACCACCAGTACATACGGTCAAGCCAAGTCGGTCGAGAGAGAGAGGATTTTTATCTTGTGTGGTGACAGACCATTGGGTTATTAGCTGGCTGACTGGTGCTTCTCGTGTTGTGGCGGGTTGCCTCTGTTTTACCAGGTAAGTGTATGGTGTGCTGTCTTGTATATTGATTGTGTTCGAAAGATTTGTGCGTAATAAATACATAATATGGATGTTCTTTTTACGTTGGCCTTTTAGTTAGCCAGTGATGGTGTTTTATTGCTCTTTTTGTTGTGACTATGGGATCACTTTTAAATCACCTGAGAGTCATCACCAAAATACGCAAAACCCACATGGACATTAACTGTAGCTGGGTAACGTGCTACCAAACTAACATCTCTAACTCGTTTGATTATCCACTATAATGTTATTGACAACAGTAGTAACAATGATGATAATATTAATGTAACAATGTTGTTATTGATTACGATAATAGTGATGATAATATTAATGTAACAATGTTGATATTGATTACGATAATAGTGATGATAATAATAGTAATAATTATAATAATTGTAATGATAATAATAATAATAGTAATAATAATAATAATAATGATGATAATAATAATAATGATGATAATAATAATAATAATAATAATAATAATAATAATAATAATGGTAATGATAATAATGATAATAATAATGATAATAATGATAATGATAATGGTAATAATGATAATAACAACAATAATGATAACAATGATAAGACGAAAAATAAATGATTAAATAATCAGCATAATAATATTATTAACGACATTAATTTTAATAACAGTTTTAACATTAATACCAAAAGTAATAATAATAACAACAACAATAATAATGATAATAATAATAATTATTATTATTATTATTTTTATTAACATTGTTATCATAATCATTATCACTATTTTCATAATAATGACAATATAATATGTGTATTAGCACGATTTATGTAAGCCATGAGACCAATAGACCACGTGACTGTTTACCACGTGGGTCTAAGTTAATTTAGAACCACCACACCAGTGAGGACTTAGACGACGATTAAATATGACCTCGTCTGACTTTTCAGTTCGCCCTGAGAAGTCAACGTGACCAGGTCACCACCAGCCTCCGGCCCCCCAGGGTTGGCTGGCCGGGCACACGACACCTCGCTCAGCGTTTTCCCTGGCAATGTCTCGTGTGTTCACTTCACTGTGTAGTACTCTTCCTTAATAAAGAACCGAGCTGTTATACAACTATGACTACTCCTGCCAGCCATTATTTTAGGGTATCTGCAGACAATGGTAGTAAAAATAATAATTGATAATAATAATGACGATGATGAAAATATTAATCACGGCCCCTAAAATTATGAAGAGCACTTTACTTATACATACATATATATATATATATATATATATATATATATATATATATATATACATATATATATATACATATATATACATATATATATATATATATATATATATATATATATATACATATATATATATATATATATATATATATATATATATATATACATACATATATATACATATATATACATATATATATATATATATATATATATATATATACATATATATATGCATACATATATATATGTATATATATATATATATATATATATATATATATATATATATATATATATATATACATACATACGTGTGTCCGTGTGTGTGTGAATATATATATATATATATATATATATATATATATATATATATATATACATATATATATATATATATATATATATATATATATATATATATATATATATATACACACACATATATATACACACATTTGTGTGTGTGTGTATTTGTATATGCATGTATACATACATGTATATATGTATATACTATTTAAGAAAAAAATCCTCCATTGCAATGATGTTACATGACCAGTATCATGTAGCTCATTATATTCACCGATAGTATACTTTCACCATTAATGATACCAAAAATATGGGGACTGTTTCGTCTTCATAACTAGTTTAACTTTTATCCACACCAAATACATATTTCTAAAAAAGTTATATATTCTGAAATATGCAAAAGAACAAAAGATGATTATTGTATGAATGAAACACGGAAAGCAAAATTCTTGAATCTGGATGCAATATTTAGCTCACGGTTAAATTTCGTGACTGGAAAGAATATCTGTTGGAAATCGTAAAGCAGGAATAACAAATACATCAGGAATTATTTGCCGATTGTTTATTGATTATGCAAAAAAAAACAGATACCGCCAGGACATCCAACCTAAGTCATATATAATTCGCTAATAGGCAAGCCACACGGACACCATATATATTGTGCATAAGCTAAAGAGATAAAATCCAATATAATCAAAATTTCAACGTGTCTCAAAAATGCATATAACGCCGCATGCATTCTCAGGTTCCCATGC